GAAAGATACATCTTTAGGAAAAGTGCTAAAATCTTAGAAGGCTCAGTGTTCTTATGTGGAAGGAAAAGGCAGCCTCCAGTCAGGAGAGACAGATTTTAAAGGGAAGGGGGAATGCTTTTGGGCTCAACTGCTCTCAAAGTTGTTAGAAAAGACAGAAATGTTTTCTTAGTTGTTACCTAGGTTGACAAGATAACTGGACCCCCCAAACCCCTTTGGGAAGATTCTCTGGAAGAGGGCATGGCAACCTACTCCAGTATTCTTGCCTGGAGAATCCCCATGGACAGAGGACCCTGGTGGGTTGTGGTTCATGGGGTCATAAAGAGTGGCACATGGCTGAGCTACTAAGCACACACAAAGCAAAGTCCTTGAGATATAAATGCACAATCTCAGAGATCGCAGGGAAGATAGGAATGACTCTGAAAATCAACCTGATTGAAGGGCTAAGTACAATCTGTACAGTATTGGAAGGGATTGAATTGAAAATATTCACATTATTGTACAAACATTATCTATAGGCTATTTTAAAGGGTCATGCCTAATACACTTACAAAATTATGATTCCTATGAAAGGCTTAGAAAAAAATGGGATATATTAAAGCAAAAGTTTGCAAAACAAGAGAATGCCTTATAGATGGGGTTGCTCAACAGAGGAAATTGAAGATATGCAATATTTGTTTTAATAGTGTTTGTTTTAGAAGACTCAGAGCTTAATTTCACATTTCTCACTAGGGAAGACAGCAGAGATAAAATCTAGAAGAACATATTAAAGAAATTAGTGATTTGGGCCAGGATACAAACATAACATTAAAGAAGGTATTCAATTCCAGTGACTACAGCTAACACCACTGTGTCTGAGGAGAAACAGAATGAATTTTAAAGGTATTTAAAATTTTGAGAACTTCAATTAAATCTTTCTTAAAGGATTAGGTAATCACAGAGGGAAATAAGATGATTAAATTGGGATCTTTCTTGTAGAAATAAAATGCTGTAATGGAAATACTATTCAAAGCCTGGAGCATTCCAGATTTGAAAAAAGAGTGTGAATTGATGAAAAAAAATTAATGACTTAGATTGCTGTTTTCTAGAATTTCATAACAGAAGTAGTACTTATTTAAGTTTGGGGCGACTTTTGAGTATTGGCATTTAATCATTGGTAGCTCATCATGATGTCATTTTTTTTTTAAAGATTGTTTTTGGATGTGGACCATTTTTTAAGTCTTTATTTAATTTGTTACAGCATCGCTTCTGTGTTATCTCTTGGTTGTTTGGCCTTGAAGCATGTGCAACCTTACCTCCCTGGGTAGGGATCAAACCCATACCCCCTGCATTGGAAGGTGAAGTCTTAACCGCTGAGCCACCTCGGGTCCCTATGATGTCATGTAAGTGTGTCATCGAACCTCTGTTTGGTCATAATGGGAAATATAGCAGCAGAGATAGGAGAGGGAAAGGGAAACGGAGAGCTGATTCCCAGTGTTTCAGCCAGCCCGGCCTGTGAGTTCTTTAATTACTATACTGCTGTGCACCATCTCATGTCCTGTGAGGCCCAGGTTAATTGCCCCCTGTGGCTCCAGGAGTAAATCCCAAAGAGCCGTAATTAATACTGGGGGGAGCCCCTTAAGAAGGTGGGAATAGACTTATCCTACCAGATGGCTCATCTCTTGTTGATCATGGACGCAATGGTCGAGTTCAAGGTGTTGAGAGAACATAAATCTTGAGAGTCTTAGGGAAACATCTATTGCCTACTTTTGTCTCTGGGAGTTCCTAAAGCAATATCCTAGCCCCTCTGCCATCCCCTCCCTCTTCTCTTTGGTAAGAGAACTGAGTTACTGATTAGAGATTTTTTAAAGGAGGAACTCAGCAGGCTCAGACCAAACCTTCCTACTTCTATCTTCTATTTGTCTTCTGTCTGCAAGGTAGATGCCTTCTATTCTCCTGGCTCAGAATTATGGTAAAATTAGTGAGCAGACTGTATTCAGTGGGGAAGATTGGCTGCTGGGGAAAAAGTAGTCAGGGGTGTACATTCATCTCAGAGAATATGAGCTACCACTCGGCGACATATCTTAGCCCCACCTTTACTGGAGCCAGTGCTGATGTTTGAATTTTAGTTTGACTTCAGTCTCTCTCATTCTCTCTCAAGTGTTTTATCTGAGAAACAGGATTATTTTTGAACTTCTAAAACACAAACACAAATAACTCCCCATTGTCCATATACCAATGTAACAAGCAGAGTTCACCTTGGGTCTTGACAAAAGGTTCGTTTCTAGTGACCCTGCCCAGCTGGCCACCAGGAGCTGCTGTGGTTCCACATTCCTTGGTGGCTTGCTGGAAGAACTGGGAGAACTGCCTGGCAGTGGGGGTTAGAGAGAAGTTCTAAATCTCATGGTCTCTGAATCACGAAGCTGATTTGCAGACACTGAGCAGGTGTTGGAGACAGAAAGTTAGGGACCAACGACGCCTACTCTTGTGCAAATGGGTGAAGACCCACAGTGAGCATGGACTCAGAGGCAATCCTGGGGTGGACTGTACAGTCCATGGGGTTGCAAAGAGTCGGACATGACTGAGTGACTTTCCTTTTCATTTCCATTTCATTTTCCTTCAATTTCACTTTCTGGGATGGTTGCCATGTAAAGGAGCCAGTGATACATGAAACGTTAACACCATGCAGTCCAAATTAATGTGTGTGTGTGTGTGAGAGACAAGTGCACAAGAAACAGAACCTGTGCGATTCCCATCCCCCTTTATCCTCAACCCAAGTCTCATTAACCCACAGAGATGTGTGTTTAGGTGGGCCATAGGTAGATTGCAAAGAGTATGGGCAGTATTCTAGTAGATGCCTCATGATACTGCAAGTATTCTGTGGAACGAGAGGGCTGAGTAGGGGACATCTCGGTGACTTTAAGAGATGTCCCCTTCATGGTTAAAGAAATGGCCTTAATGGAAAGGAAGATCTTGTTTTTCTGTAAGCTAATGCCGGTCATTGAGCCAGCTCTCTGCTAAATTACTGAAAAAATTTAGAAAATAAGTCCCCAAGGTCATTTCTCTCTGCTCCAGAGGGGCACCTCTTGAGCCTGTCAAGATGTGGGAGGAGAAGGAGATGGTTGGTAAATTTTTGTGTCCTGATAGAAGGAAAGCAAAACAGTTCCTGTGTCAGGACATAAGAGAAGCTGTTGGAATGGGCTTCCCTCTAAACCCAGCCTGGTCCCATCCTACCACTGTTGGGGGCCTTTATGGCAGGGCCCCAAGGAGGACAGCTTGACAATGTTCTGTGTTAGAGGGGCCCCGAGCCTTCAGAAGTCCAAAAGTACGTCTGTGTAAGCAGAAAATGTACCAGGGCCTGGGGTGGCCCTAAGACTGATTTTTCTCTCCACTAGAGATTGGAGCACTTAAGAGGTAACTGGCTCACTCATATTCTGAACTTGTTGTAGTCTCACAACTTCTCTGTTTCACAACATTTTGTATTCTATAGAAGATAAGTCCTGGATAGGAGTCAGAAAACTCACATGCTGAACGCTGTGTCCTGATTTGCAGTGTTTTCTATTTGTCTCTGCTGTTATTGCCCCTCCTAAAGAATCTGCCTGTCAATGCAGGAGACATGGGTTTGATCCCTGAATTGGGAAGATCCCCTGGAGAAGGAAATGGCAACCCACTCAATATTCTTGTTGGGAAATCCCATGGACAGAGGAGCCTGGCAGGCTGCAATCCAAGGGATTGCAAGGGTCAGATATGACTTTGCAACTAAGCAACAGCAACAAAAATCCTGTGTCCAGCTCTGCATTCTTCAACCTCAGGTTGCAAGATGCTCTCCTGAAGCAAGTAAACACTGGACCAGGGAGTGGGCACTGCTGATTCTATAAAACTAAGAAAGTTTCACTATCATAATATTTCCAAGTAGTCAGTCATATGTTTCTCTCTGTCTCTTGACAGACTCCCAAGTTTGGGGAGTTGAGGAATGTGTCTCTGTGCCAACAGCCAAGACATGGAACTAATGTTTTCCATTCCCTCTGTAAACAGAAATCTTACTACTCTCCATACCCCCACGAACTGGGTCATTTTCCAGAGTCTCATCCTCACCACCAGAAAGAGTTCATTTATGAGTACTTGTTGCCTTAGTACAAGGAGACTCAAGTGTTAACCATCAAAGAAGATTTTAGAGCTTTACTAGGGGTTGAAGAGGGTTAGAATGAACTGAGTGCTTTATTACGGTTCCTCAAAGAAGGTCGAAGCCCTCATTTTTCCTGCACAACCCACATGAGGACCTGCAGGATTAAGGCAATTCTGAGGTTCACCACAGAGGTAAGATGGCTTCCCTGGTGTCTCAGACAGTAAAGAAACTGCCTGCAATGCAGGAAACCCAGGTTCGATCCCTGGGTTGGGAAGAACCCCTGGAGAAGGAAATGGCAACCCACTCTAGTATTCTTGCCTGGAGAATTCCATAGACAGAGGAGCTTAGCAGGCTATATATAGTCCACGGAGTTGCAAAGAGTCGGACACGACTGAGTGACTAACACATTCTCTTTCTTTTTATGAGGTAAGATGGAGCCCCTTCATGGAAAAGGTGCAGACATACAGAGGCCTTGTGCTGCGGGCTGGGGATTATGCATCATAAGGGCATTGGTCTCTAGCTTTTGCTGGGAATAAAATCTTCACAAGCCAGTCTCTTTCCAGGGCTTCCATTTATGCCCCTTAGAGATGAGCACAGTGGCCAAGTACAAAGGCTTTGGGAGGAATCTGTGGCAAAGCTCTAACTTGGCAAGGATTTATTTTGATTTTCTATATCCAGGTGATAGGGAATGCCAGCAAGAGGCATGTTAACAGTCTTAATATGTAAAGAGTAATTTACTGATGTCTGGAATTTGTGGTGCTGGTGGTACATTTAAGCAGAAACATTTAATAGACCGTTGACATATGACACATCGGAGAAGCCCAGAGGGGTGGGAACACCAGGGCTGGGAGAGGCGGCCGCTGGAGAAGGTGCTTGGGGGGTCTGTGAATGAGCCAGTACACCCTACAAGAGTTGGAACCTGTTCAGTCGGTCTTTTGCAGAGAGTGAACGCTCACCTTTGAAAGGAGGTCCCCTGAGCAGGGTCAGAGTGTTGTGTTCCTGCCAGGTCCCTCTCTGCCTTGCGGAGGACTCAGAAGCCCCTCCTTTCTGTTCACACCCACGAGAGCCCCATCTGGGTGAAGCATCCTCCTGCTGGCATTGCCATGGCCACCATGCTCCTCTGCTGTGTGGCCCTGTGTCTCCTGGGAGTAGGTACGTCCCCAGAAATAATCTGCATTCTTGGATATTTCCCATTATGATTCCAATTATGCTGCTTATTCTGTCCCCAAACTCTGTCCCTCTCCACAGGGCCCACAGATGCTGGAGTCACCCAGACCCCTAGGCATGAGTTAACAGAAAAGGGACAGGCAGTCACTCTGAGCTGTGAGCCGATTAAAAGCCACGCTGTCCTTTATTGGTATAGACAGACCTCAGTGCGGGGACTGGAGTTACTGATTTATTTCAACAACCAAGAGCCTGTGGATGAGTCGGGGATGCCCAAGGACCGATTCTCAGCTAAGATGCCTAACGCATCGCTCTCCACTCTGAAGATCCAGTCCACAGATCCTGGGGACTCGGCCACGTACCTCTGTGCCAGCAGCAAAGACACAGTGCTGCAGAATCGCCCCTTCCTGAGCAGAAAACCTCTGCTTCCCCTTCCGGCTCACCCCCTGGCGTCATCAGTTGTCTTCCTAGACTCCTCCCCTAGCAGTGCAGCGCCTCAGTGTTCTAATGACCCTAGGGAAGGCAGGAACAGAATGAAACAACCCATCACATTAGGAAACACGTGAGGGGAAGGCAGTAGAGAGCTTGGTTTCTGGCATTTCTCACACATTTCCCACAGATGCTGACAGTCCATTTGTTGTTGTCATTGTTTGATCACTCAGTTATGTCCAACTCTCTGCAACCCCATGGACTGTAGCACACCCTGCTTCCCTGTCCTTCACCACATCCCGGAGCTTGCACAAACTCATGTCCATTGATTCAGTGATGCCATCCAACAATTTTGTCCTCTGTAATCCCCTTCTCCTCCTCCTGACACTCCAAGGCTAAGGGTAAATCTCACCCACTGGGTTTTCAAGTAATTATATAACCATCAGATAAACTCAGTTTGAAAGGGCTTCTACAAAATACTTGACTGGTGATCCTCAAAAGGGCATCCCAGGTGGTGCTACTGGTAAAGAACCTGCTTGCCGATGCAGAAGACATAAGAGTCGTGGGTTTGATCCCTAAGTTGGGAAGATCCCCTGGAGAAGGGCATGGCAATCCACTCTAGCATTCTTTCTTGGAGAATCCCATGGACAGAGGAGCCTGGTGGGCTACAGTCCATACAGTCGCACAGAGTTGGACATGACTGAGCAACTGAGCATGCACACATGATTCTCAAAAGTGTCAAAATCATTCACAACAAGAAAAGACTAAGAAACTCTCATGGCTTGAAGGAATCTAAGAAGACAGGTCATCTAAATGTTCTGTGGTGTCCTGGATTAGATCCTGGAACAGAACAGTAGAAAAAAGCGGGAAATCTGAGTTTAGCCTGTAGCTGACTTGTGCATATGTGAAATCCTTGGTTCTGAGCAAAGAATCATGCTTATGAATGATGCTTACAACAGGGGAAGTTGGGTGAAAGGTGGAGAGGAACCATAATGTCTTTACAACTCATGGGAAATAAGTTCCCCAGCGTTGAATCTCCAGAGTCCCTGCTAAACCAACAAGTGATGTTGCTGTTAATTGTCCTGGTTCCCCAGGCTCAGAGCACTCAGACAGATCCAGACTCAGCTGCTGCTGAGTGCTCCAGTGCTTTCTGAACATCGGGCAGGGCAATGTAGGCCCAGCAGAAGCCTGCAATGTGGAAGTCCACCACCAGGGCTGGCCGCCTGCTTCTCTGAGGCGCCCCTTCTGTCCCCTCCACACACAGCCACCACGCACACTGGGGTCACTGACTCCGCCATCACCAGCTGCTACGAGCTGACAAACACTGAAGCCTAACAGTGAAGAGAATGTGTTGCAGATTTATATACAAAGGGCTCAAGTTGATTCATTTAGTATTATGGGGAAATGACACCCATAAAAACTCCCCAACTGATGAGCAGAACATTTTGTATTGTGTGGCAGGCTGAATAATGACCTCCGGCCCACCCCACCGTCCCAAAGATGCCCATATATTCATCCCTGGAACCTGTGGATGTTGTGATAAAAATGGACTTTATAGATGTGATTCAGTTAAGACTTTGAGAAGGGGCATTTATCTGGGATTATCCAACTGGGCCTTAATAATACCGTGTATATCTTTATTAGAGGGAGGCATAGGAGATTTGATACAAATAGAAGAGGAAGTAGCAAGGTAACCACAGAGGCAAAGGTCGAACCCATACGAGGTCAATACCTAGTTAAATGCATTAAACAGGCCAGTTTTTTTGATGTCAGGTTTTCCTGATCACCGCTCAAAGGCAGCCTTTTTTGGGGAAAAATAAGCATGCTCTTTCTTCTATGCTTCTGTTTCCCTAGAGGGAGCCACTGAGACCATGGACGCCTGCTCACAGGGTGATGTCAGCGCCAGCCCACACGGTATAGGGACCCCGGGACATGGATCTGCTTTCATTTCTGCTCCCACACGCAAGTTCCCTCATCTGGAAAAGCTCTCATCTTCCTCTGGATCCTGCCATGCTCTCCAGTCTTCTCCACTTAGCGTCACTGTGTCTCCTGGGAGCAAGTGAGTCCTCAGAAACACGAACGTCTCCACGGGGCCCTTTTCCTGTCTATCCCGGTCACGTATGTTCTTGTCTTCTCCCGCAGGGTACATATCAGCTGAAGTCGCCCAGTTCCCCAGCCACAGGGTCATAGAGAAGAAGCAGGCTGTGAATCTGAGCTGTGACCCTATTTCTGGACATGATTCTCTCTTTTGGTACTACCATGCTGTGGGGAAAGAAATGAAGCTTCTGATTTACTTCATAAGAGAGTCTGTGCAGGACAACTCGGGGATGCCCAAAGGCCGATTCACAGCAGAAAGGATGGAAGGGACGTCTTCTACGCTGAGGGTCCACTCTGCAGAGCTGGGTGACTCGGGAGTTTATTTCTGTGCCAGCAGCCGAGACACAGCGCTTCAGAGTTCCGTCCTTGCTGTGCAAAACCACATCCTATCCGCTCCTCTCAAGTCAGGCAGCCCTGGACAGAAGTCTTTCTCTGTGCCGCCTCCCAAAGGAAGAGAGGAGGGGAAGAACTGGAATTAACCATTGAAACTCAAGAGTATTTTTAAAAAATTTAACTGGGGATATCTGCGACTTGGGAGACTCCTGGGGTTCCTCATACAGAAGTCAATCTATGCAAAGCTATTTGCTTTAATTTATCTTGTTGAAATATAGATGATTTGCAATGTTGTGTTAATTTCTATTGTACAGCAGTGACTCAAGTTACACACACACACATATACATATACATTGTTTTTCATATTCTTTCCATTAGGCTTCATCGTAGGATATTTAATAAAGTTTCCTGTGCTGTATAGTGGGTCTTTTTGTCTATCCATTCTATACATACTAGTTTGCACCTGCTAGTCCCAAACTCCCAATCCATATGCAAATCGACTTGTGTGTGTGTGTATGTGTGTGTGTGTGTTATCCTGATGTAAAACACAGTGGGTTTCTTGCCTACCTTGGTGCTCTGATCTAAAAAGAATTTTGATGCTGATTGTAGCCACATCTTTATATCCCTTATTACATCATACAAAAGTGTCCCTGATAGAAATAAAAATCGTGACTCAAAATGCATTTACTCTTTTAGTTTGCTCCCTGATAAAGGAGATGATACGTTTAAGTTCCATTTGTCTAGCACACATCCATTAGCAAATATTTTAAAAAGTTCATTTTTGAGTGGAATAAGCAGATCAATTATCATCAGGATAATTTTTCTTTATCTGTAGGGTCTGATTTTTCTAACATAAGAAGCATGGGTTAGTGCTAAATGTTAATGTGTGTCAGCCCCTCCCGACCATTTGTGAGGTCGGGTCCAGTGGCTGCACTAGGGCTCCAGCATCTTGGTGAAGCTAGTTCACTGGTGTGGCGGCCTGATCCTTCCAGATGCAGTCAGAGCAGAATGAGGGACTGGATACATCTCTAAGCCCTGACGTGACTAACCTTCACCCTTCACCCAGATTTGCTCGGACCAGTTGTAGGAAGGCAGCTTCTAGGCACATTTCTACTGGCCATAAGGAGGCATTCTTTTATCACTGATGGCTAAAAGGTGTGCATATTTCTTTGGTGCTCTCTGAAAAGTGGTCATAAATGGATTCCAGGACCTGGTTTCTGCATGGTGAGGAGAAGAGAGTTTGCAAGCACCAGTCACCCATCTGTGATGAGGAGGGCAAAACACAGACATTATCTCAACAAGACTTCAGCAAAGGCTATTCACATGTTGGGGGTTTCCCAGGTTGCTACTGGTAAAGAACCTACCTGTCAGTGCAGGAGATGCAAGAGATGCAGGATCGATCCCTGGGTTGGGAAGATCCTCTGGAGAAGGAAGTGGCTACCCACACCAGGACTCTTGCCTGGAGAACCCCATGGACAGAAGAGCCTGGTGAGCTAGAGTCCACGGAGTCACAGAGAGTCAGACATGACTGCATGACTTAGCATAGCACACACATTCACGTGCTGAGGAACCTCTGAACAATCCTATAGGAAAAAAGAAATGAGGAGATGGAGAGGCCAGAATGAAATGGGGCAGATGTAGGAACAGGGGCAGACAAGGGAACATCACCTTTACTCTATACCTGATCTGGCCAAGCCCAGATGCCCCTGTCAAGCAGGAAGCTGTGTATATTATCAGTGAGGGTGTCCTTGTGCTGGTCACATTGACGTCACAGGCAGACTGCCTGTCTGTCTCTCAACCCAGAGACTAGAGTCTGGAACGGAGGTCTCCTTCCTGTCCCAGCCCTGCCATGGCGCACAGGCTTCTTCTCTGCGTGGCCCTGTGTCTCCTGGGAGCAGGTAAGTCCTGGTCAGAAAGGACATCTCTAAAGCTTGTCCCCAGTTCTGTGCCTTTCGTTTACGGCAACAGCATGACTCTCCTTCTGCACTCCGTCTCTAAACCTTCCTCCTCCTCCACAGGTCACGTGGGGGCCCTGGTCATTCAGAATCCAAGATACCTGGTTACCGGGATGGGAAAACCAGTGAACCTGAGCTGTTCTCAGAATATGAAGCACGATGTCATGTACTGGTACCAACAGAAGCCAAGCCAAGCACCAAAACTGCTATTGTACTACTATGATAGACAAATCACCAGGGAAAAAAATACCTCTGAAAACTTCCAGTCCAGCAAGCCTAACACCTCTTTCTGTTCTCTTGACATCCACTCGGCAGGCCTGGGGGACTCAGCTGTGTATCTCTGTGCCAGCAGCAGAGACACAGAGCTGAAGCCTTCCCTTCCCTCTGTTCATAAACCTCTGCTTCCCAGAGCCGAGTCCCCTCTAGACCTGCCTCCCCTCTGGCAACCACGAGAGGAAGTGGTTTAAGGCTGTCATTATCTCCTCTGTAGATAGAAGTTGGATCTAAACCTACAAAAGCCATTGACAGTTATGCCAGGAGTAGAAAAGTGGTTACTCTCACCCGACATTCAGTTGGTGGTAATTTCCTTGGATCACCCCTTCTGTTCTCTTCAGTAGAGTAATAGAACCTTTTTTCTTGGTTGTTTCTTTTAAAGTCCGAGTGGTTGACTCAGAAACATGTTTAAGGACAGACCCAGGCAAGAGGTAGCACCATTCCCCTAAATTCTCGCCATTAGAGGAAACTGTCCTCCTAAGCGTGTGAATGCAGTCTCACTGTTTTCTTATCAAGTAGGGAAAATTGATGGGGATGGTCTAGTTGCTAAGTTGTGTTTGACTCTTGTAACCCC